GAGAAAGCAGAGAGAGTCATTTATCTATGGTTTCACTTATTTGTGGAGCATAACAAATAACATGGAGGACATGGGGAGATGGAGAGGATAAGGGAGTTGAGGGAAATTGGAAGGGGAGATGAAACATGAGAGACTATGGATTCTGAAAAAAAACCTGAGGGTTTGAAGGGGCGGGTGTGGGGGTGGGAGGTTGGGGGAACCAGGTGGTGGGTATTAGGGAGGGCACGTATTGCATGAAGCACTGGGTGTGGTTTAAAAACAGTGAATACTGTTATGCTGAAAAGAAATTAAAAAAAAATACATATTTTACAACAACAACAACAACAAAAAAATGGCAGTGCTAAAAAAAATGATAAATACCAAAGATGACACCTCTTTGGAAGCCTTTACGGACCCTTCCCTAATAGAAATGTTCACCAACCCCATGATCTGTATTTTCCAATTGTTTTTCTTACACCTGCAACATTATTGGAGTCATTCATTGACATCCTGGTGACATTTCCTACTAGATTATAATCCCTTTGAGAACAGCCTGTACACCTCTTTGGCTTCATATCCTTGGCATTCAGCACGAGGTCTGGTTTACAATACAAGTTTAATAAACATTTGTTAAGGGACAGAGGCAGAGAGAACAGGCAGGAAGACAGACCCCACCATTCATAGTTTCAGTGTGAGCCCACAGTTCTAGCCTCACAAACCACAGTGAAAACCATGCCCATCTTTGTGAATGCTGTCACCATGCTGCCTTATATATACCATGAAAGAACAGTTTTTGAAGCAGAGTGGAATTGTGACATGCACACAGTTATAAAACTTGTCAAAAATTTTATTTAACTCATCAGTTAATGAGGGCACCAGTAAGATCTTACAACTAGCTTATAGGAGAATTCCAAGAACCACACAGAAAAATAGGAAAAAAGGAAAGCTGAAATCAGCTTACAAATAGAAGCAAAAAGGATCTATCCACAGAACAATAATCAGTTGCATCCCACCAGAAATAATTAATTTACATTTCTATGAACAAGAATCATTTACATGATTATCCATTTTCTATCATTTACAGAGTTTTAAATAGCTCAGAGACAATGAAAAGCAAAGATAACCCAGCCAGGCAGGCTAAGCAGAACACCCACTAATCTTTTTTGGTCCATTTCAGAATCTTTGGGAGTTTTTCCTGACAAGTCTCCATCATCCCAAGAGAGGGCAAAACATCCTCTTAGGTGCTGCTCCTGGTTTCTCTTGCATTGCTTTTTATCCTAATTTTCTAGCACTTGTGCTGTTTGGTAAGAATGGAGCTTGTCTGAAAAAATTTGAGAAACAGAATGTGTTCCCAAATGTGCCCAGAGATCATGCCTATTCCTGTTCGGTGTATGCCATTGCTATACTATATAATGAGCGTAAGCTATTTCATCTGATGGTTCCTTGGTTCATTATATAAATAGATCTCCAGAGGGGGGGGCACCTCTCCATTCCTCTAGGGAAAGAGTCAAATCCCACCTGAACCTTCCCCTCTCAATATATCCTTTTAATGTTTTCTACCTTAATTCTCATATCATGTTTCCTGAACTGAGGAGGTATCATATTTTTTGATCCATTAAGGATCCTGAAACAATTCTGGACTCATACTCCTCAATATGTACTTTCTGCCTGTGAAAGTATTTTAACTTTCTTTTCTTTTCTTTCTTTTTTTTTTTTTTTTTTAGAAGAGCAAGGTGTAGGGAAAATTTTAAGTGTTTTATCTCATCATCTCTCAAAAGGAACAGGCTTTTGCCATTTTTCTATGCCTCCTTTCCATAAACATAGACTGCTTTTGGCACAGCTTGTGTTTTCACAACACACCCAGCTAAAATCAGTACAGGCATTTTTAAGTGCTAGAGGTTTTAGCACCCTCTTGGGGAGGGTGTCTGGAGTGGTCACAGTCCTTCTGCAGATTCTATCTCCATTGTCTACTTGCTCCGGCTTATGCCCTGAATCTTCTCTACTTTACACTCTTTTAAAGTGCACTCAGCTGCCAACAAATGCCCAGAATATTTTTCTGCATCTCCTCTTGACTAGGGGAGAAAATTAAGATAATTATAAGTTTTCAATTCATGAAATTCTTTTACTCAGAAATTTTAATGAGTGGGATAAAGGGATAGCACCTACCTAGTTTAGGAGCCATCTATACATTCATTGCTATTCTGATCAAAATTCCACCAGCATTTTTCAAAGAGCTGAAACAAATAATTCTAAAAGTTGTATGGAACTAGAAGAGACCCCAAATATCTAAGAAAATGTTGAAAAAGAAAAACAAAACTGGAGGCATCACGTTGCCTGATTTCAAGCTTTACTACAAAGCTGTGATCACCAAGATAGCATGGCACTGGCATAAAAACAGACCCATAGGCCAGTGGAACAGAGTAGAGAGCCCAGATATGGACCCACAACTCTATGATCAACTAATCTTCAACAAAGCAGGAAAAAATATACAGTGGAAAAAATATAGTCTCTTCAATAAATGGTTATGGGAAAATTGGACAGCTAGGTATAGGAGAATGAAACTTGACCATTCTCTTACACCATACATAAAGATAAACTCAAAATGGATAAAAGACCTCAACGTGAGGCAAGAATCTATCAAAATCCTAGAGGAGAACATAGGCAGTAACTTCTTCGATATCAGCCACAGCAACTTCTTTCAAGACACGTCACCAAAGGCAAAGGAAACAAAAGCGAAAGTGAACTTTTAGGATTTCATCAAGATCAAAAGCTTCTGCACAGCAAAGGAAACAGTCAACAAAACAAAGAGGCAACCCACAACAGAATGGGAGAAGATATTTGCAAATCACACTACAAAGGGCTGATATCCAAGATCTATAAAGAACTCCTCAAACTCAACACTCAAAAAACAGATAATGACATCAAAAAATGAGCAGAAGACATGAACAGACACTTCTCCAAAGAAGACATACAAATGGCTAACAGACACATGAAAAAATGTTCATCATCATTAGCCATCAGGGAGATTCAAATCAAAACTACATTAAGGTACACCTTACACCAGTTAGAATGGCCAAAATCAACAAGACAGTAAACAACAAGTGTTGGAGAGGTTGTGAAGAAAGAAGAACCCTCTTACACTGTTGGTTAGGAGTGCAAGCTGGTGCAGCCACTTTGGAAAACAGTGTGGAGATTCCTTAAGAAATTAAAAAATAGAGCTACCCTATGACCCTGCAATTGCACTACTGGGTATTTACCCCAAAGATACAGATGTAGTGAAAAGAAGGGTCATCTGTACCTAATGTTCATAGCGGCAATGGATATAGTTGCCAAACTGTGGAAAGAGCCAAGATGCTCTTCAACAGACGAATGGATAAAGAAGATATGGTCCATATATACTATGGAATATTATGCCTCCATCAGAAAGGATGAATACCCAACTTTTGTATCAACGTGGTTG